TTCGCCTAACTATACACCACAAAATTATTTTATTTGTAGACATACCAAAAATCCACATTGCCCAAAAGTTCTTCATTGTTCATCCTAAATATGATGGAATTTGATAGTTCTAAATTTGTTTATGAGATTAACATCTAGTATTCGACATAAATAAATGCCAACGGCGTCTCTATCACTTCTATTTCATTAATATAATGAATACATTAAACTCAAACTTCACATTTTCCATTATACTACATTAAAAATTATCCATATCTTCCCAATATCCAATACAAATAATAAATAAACTTCAATTTTACATAAGTACTCTATTAGCACAAAAAAATATTCATACAAAACCCGAACTCGACTACTCGAGGGTGGTATATCTATTTTTATTTTTATTTTTTATGCAACGATATATTTATATTAAATTGTTTCGAATTTGTCATTTACGAGATTTCTATTTAAAACTTCTCATTTACAATTAAAGAACAATACTAGTATTCCGTAGTATAAGTGGCTACATCTATTTTCTTGTTAAGTGACAAGAACATCATTGACTACCGATAAATTACCGCATAGAAAATAAGAAAAAATATTTCTCACATAATGGTCTGACGTGTTATGTTAAAAAACGGCCGATGCTAATTTAAGTAAATTCATACATAAATAGCCAAATAAATCGTCCAAAACGATAATCAAATACTATACCATATTAGGGAACGCGTTATACCGAAAAATAATTCACTTTCTCAAATTGTAATTCCCACACATTGTAGAAGAAATCATGTATACTCTTTTCCTTAACGATAAAGTTTCATCACACTATCACTTCACAAATCTTTCGACAATGCCTATGTTCATCGAGTCCCCATCAGTCTTTTGCTCCTTTCTCAGGCCACCACATTCATTTTCTTTTTAGCTTTATCAGTTTTTTTCGTACATGAAAACAATTAAATTGTTAAATACAAAAATAAATATATGAAAAATTAGGGTAAAGTTCCTAGCAATTTGTCAATTTCGTACAATATTGAAACAAGCGGGACCAGCCTTCCGGCCGAGCGCACTCGCTTACGTGTCCGTACCTCATTGGCTTGCATGCACAATCCGCCCGAAAGACCTTCGTCGCGACGCTTTGTAAATTCTCCCTTATACCCCTACTATTACTCAAAATCACTCTTCTACCTGAACGCGCTCTCTTCTAGCACAAGGCGTTCCATACGGACAGTGGCAGTGTTGAAAATTTGAGGCATTAAAATACCCCTGTTAATTTTCTCGGACGCGGTCTGTACGTGGAATTTAAAGCGGGCCGGAAGACTTGGCAGATGTATATATAAACTGTGTCTCTCTTCTCCCTCAGTAGTGCCTCTCACAACCTTCTTCGTTGCTTTCTCTCTGCTGAAAGAGAAAAAAAGCTAGAGAGAGAAAGAAGGTCCACACCTGATTTCAGAACACCAAAATCTCCATTTCGAATTCGAGAATCTATCCGATTCCTAGTGTTTTCTTTTGGGTTTCTTGGAAAAAGTTTTGGGTTCTTGAGAAAAGCCAGGTTTTTTTTAGTTTTTCCTCACTCTCTCTGTCTCTCTGTTCCTCTGTTTCTCTGTTTCTCTCTCTTGAGTTGCGGTTGAGTGGTGGTGGCGGACATGGAGGTGCTGTCTATGAATAGTCTGCCGCTGGGGTTCAGATTTCGGCCGACGGATGCGGAGTTGATCGATTATTATTTGAGGTCGAAAATCAATGGCAATCACAGACAAGTCGCTGTTATCCGTGAGATTGATGTTTGCAAATGCGAGCCCTGGGATTTGCCTGGTATTAAACTTTTCTTTCTCCATCTCTTAGTTTTCACAATTTTCTGATAATTATTTTGTGGGGTTTGATTGCATGTAGTGGAAAATGGTTAAACTTTGCTTGTGATTAATTGCTTATATCAAGTGGCGGAGCCAGAAATTTACAAAAAGGTTAAAAAAATAGCTGTCTAGAATCGATCATACTTTCATTTATACTTGTCCGCGACGTGTTCTTAAATCCTTTAGTGTGTTATTTAGTTGTTAAATTCACTATTTAGTTTCCATTGGGTTGTAATTAAGCTGGGATTTTGTTGGATTACTGAAACTTTGGGAAAGTTATGAACTTTTGGTAGCAGCAAGTACTTGATTTTCTCACTAATTATCTAAATTGAAGGTCTTCAATTTTTGGGGTTTTCTCTGCTCAATGTTTAGCTTAGTTATGCTGCAGATTTATCAGTGACTTTTTAACAATTATGTCCTTTTATCTGTTGGGGGTTTTGACTGGATGTAGTAAAGATGCTTACACTTGCTTATGATTATCGGCTTTTCGTAAAAGCAATCGATTAATATATTATTGAGTTGTAAATTGTAATTAGGCCGGGAATTTGATGAATTGTTGTAACTAGGGAAAATTATGAACTTTTGGTAATTGGTAGCAGCAACTTGATTTTCTCACCGATTACATATTTTTCGGGTTTTCAGTTTTGTATATTTTTGCTCAATGTTATGTTTATGCTGTGCTGCAGATTTATCGGTGATACAGACAACTGATCCGGAGTGGTTCTTCTTCTGTCCACAGGACAGAAAGTACCCGAATGGGCACAGGTTGAACAGGGCTACAAGTAAAGGGTATTGGAAGGCCACTGGAAAAGATCGTCAAATCAAGTCGGACAAAATCTTGATTGGAATGAAAAAGACACTGGTCTTCCATACCGGGCGTGCTCCTAAGGGTAAGAGGACTAATTGGGTTATGCACGAGTATCGTGCGACACAGAAGGAGCTTGATGGCACAAATCCTGGCCAGGTTGGTTTTCTGTTCAACCTTAATGATGTTTAATTGATTCTATGATCACATTTGGACACTGAAGTCTTGAAAATTGATAGTTTGTGCAATCAGTTTAAGTGTAATTTGTATAATTTAGTCAAAATCTATTACTTAGTCGGGTTTTAGTTTTAGTGAGATATCTTATGATGTTTAAATATGATTCAAAACACGTCCATTTCGTGATTTAGACAATAGACAGTAGGATCTGATTAACCGGTTTGAGGAAAACGGATGGTTTGGATGTCATATTGTAACTGATAAAACAAAGATGCTCAGTTCTCTGTAACACATATGCTCACATCACTGACCGGGAATTTCAAATGACTGAACTTTCAATTACTAATCAGACGTTATGGTCCGTGTTTTGATTATGCAGAGTTCCTTTGTCCTTTGTCGCCTGTTTAAAAAACAAGATGAGACTATCGAAGATTCAAATTTCGATGAAGCTGAACCTACTGTTTCATCCTCCATCGCTGTTGTATCGTCTCCTCAAGACGTGCAGTCTCATCTTGCACCGGTTCCAACATCACCATCATTTGAAAGGCCAGATGAAAAGCCTCTTACCAAAGTCGAATGCACCTTTGCTGATAGTGGTAATGCGATGGGATCAGACACTTTACCACCTCTACCAACTATTGAGTTCCCTAGCAACAGCTGTGATGGTTATGATGCAGAAGGTCAACTGAATATGCCACTGGGGGAGTTGGACATGTTTTATGATCCCCCGCAAGAGCCACTTTTTTCCCCATTGCACTCACAGATGCACGCGGAGCTTGGTTACTATGGCAGGAATGACTTCAGCAATGATCATCAGGGCGTGACGTTTCCACATGGAACCAATGAGCAAGACGCGTATGTATCCGAGTTCTTGAGCTCAATTCTAAACAGTTCAGGGGAGCAGATTGATGTCGATGCAAGCGCAGCTGAAGTACAGGTGAGTGGAAGATTTCATGTTACTTTTTAAGTTTTGCCTCCCAACTTGCAATTGTGCATATCTGCAGCATTTTGTGCCATGTATGTGCTTTGAAAAGATTGTCTCTAGAAAAATAATTTTTTGCTGATCTCATTTCATACAGTTTTTGAAAGAACTTCAAAATGATGTTCAGCCTGAGGAGAATATTGTCAGAAATGATCCGTCACTGTTGATGTCGATTCCAGAAGATTATGGTAAGTCTTTTCTGGTATTAACATTGATGAGTGTAAGAGAATTGTGGATGGTGTGCTAGATGAATGTTAGTAATGGAATGCTTCTCCATTTGGTTTTGCTGCAGGCCAATCCTCAAGGTCTGAGGTAACGAGCAATCATTTGAATGCAATTATCAATCGCGATGCTGGAACTGGAATCAAGCTCAGGGCTCGCCAAACACAAAATCCAACTAGTGCAGAGAGCTTTGTGACACAAGGTGATGCGAAAAGAAGAATAAGGCTTGCGACTAAAGTTCAGCGACTCCAATGCAGCAGTAGACCAGAAGACAACGAACTAAAACCAATAGCTCTGGAGGTGAGAAGTTTGTGAAGCACAAATAATGTCAAAGTCTGATGAGATTTGAGGGTTGGTAATGAGTTTAACGCTGTTTGCAGGAGATAAGCAATAACGAAAAGAAACCTATTGGTGCTGTTGATACTGATGTTATTAGTGCTGACATTGATCTGCCAGAAAAAGGAACCGTGCCCACAAGACCCAACTTCACTGCGGATGGCAGCATTGTTACCGGCAAAAGGCTGCTTTCTGTGTTGTTGAAGGCCGTCTGTCCTGCCGGTCATTCTATGTGGTCCTTAGCCTTTCTGTTTATAGGAGTTGTGGTTGCATTCTTGTTCATAATCTTGCTAGCTCATGGGGATTTCATTAGTTTTGAAGCCGCCAGAAGACCTTTCGCAGCCTAGCGTACCGCCTAAGCCCTACATTTTAAGGGTCTGTTTAATTTTATGAGTCTAAACACAGGATAGATTTGTTAGGTTCAGAGTCCTCATGTGATTATATACAGCAGCTAACAATTTTTGAGGGATTCCATAACTAAACTATGAATTTTTAGTTGAGCTGCACTTATTTATCCGAAATTGTTCTGTATTTCTGTTTAAACTTATCCCCTTCATGCAATTAACATGTAATTCACCGGAAAAACTAACCTACAAGAGAATATTACTACGACGTATACAACCATGCACAATCATAATTCACGAGAAAACTAACCTACAACGGAATGTTACCATGCATAGTCATGCTCTTTAACTTCGCCAATCACGAGGGGTGGTACATTTTAACTTGCTCGTGTGACCGTTTCTATTTGTTTGGGATATTGCCACAATTGTGTTGTTACAGTCGCCGCACTTCATGAGTGAATATCCAATTGCCAATTCTACCCCTCTGGCCGCTGCTACTGTCGTTTTTCTTCTCCCCAATTCCGGTCAGACAAACAGAGACGGAGATGGGTTCTTGGTCGATCGCCAATTTTCTCCACGTTTTACTACTCTTACCCACTTCTCTTTCTCTTTGTACCCTCCATGGAGCTCCTGATCCAACCCACTACCCAAAAGAGCTTCTGAGCGCAGCTCAGCAAGATAAAAACTGGTTATTATCCGTAAGAAGGCAAATCCATGAAAACCCAGAACTCAAATTCCAGGAGTACAACACCAGCGCTCTTCTGCGCAGAGAGCTCGACCGGCTCGGATCCCTTACGAACACCCGATTGCCCAAACCGGAATTGTTGCGGAAATCGGCTCCGGTTCGAGCCCTGTTGTTGCTCTTCGAGCCGACGTGGACTCTCTCCCGTTGCAAGTATTATCCGTAAACTTGTTGTTTTGTTGTTTGGATTCTGAGGAAGATGTCTTAATTTTTTGTGGATTTTAAGGTTTAGCTTTTGGTGGTTTTTGTGGTGGTGGTGACGTGTAGGAGCTTGTTGAGTGGGAGCACAAGTGTAAGGTTGATGGGAAAATGCACGGCTGTAGATATGATGCTCACACCACCATGTTTCTTGGTGCTGCTAAGTTGCTTAATCAACGAAAAGATTAACTCAAGGTCAGTTTTACGTTTTAGCATATGCGGGTTAGGCTAGTTGAAAATAGCACTATTCCTGCCATGTTTTGCAAAAGTTCGAATCCTCTTCCCGTAGACAGTTCAGAATATAAAAAATGCTCAGTTGCGTTTTATGTTGTGCAACAAAGTACATGTGCATTTTGAGGTTCTCAGTTAGAGTTTGAACTTTTCTATTGAGAGCATAACTTTTTAAACACGGGTTATGTTGGTTGGCTAGGGCAGTGTTATCGCCTTTTTATACAAATTCGAATCTTTATTCCGGTAAACATGGTAGTTTAGAATATATATCGTCTTATCGAAAAAATTCAGTTACATTTTATGTTGTGCAGCAAAGTAAATGTGAGTTTGAGATTCTGAGTTAAAGTTCCAATCTTTCTATTGAGACCATAACTTTCAACAATGAAAAATTGCAATAGTGTGATACAATGAGAGAATTTTGCCTAACTTTTATTTTGTTCGTATGGTGCTGAAGGGAACTGTGAGACTTCTGTTTCAACCTGGTGAGGAGGGAGGCGCTGGGGCCTCTGAAATGATAAATGGAGGTGCTTTTGGTGAAGCTGAAGCCATATCTGGGATGCACGTTGATTTTACAATACTCACAGGAACTGTGTAGCGTCGGTTGCAGGGCCACACTTAGCTGCTGTTTCCATGTTTGAAGCCAAAATAGTCGGGAAAGGCGGGCTGCCGCAAAACCCCATAGCTCTGCTGATCCAGTACTTGCTGCCTCATTTGCAATTTTGCCGTTGCAACAGCTCATCTCAAGAGAAACTGATCCCATCCATAGCCATGTACGTGCCTTTAAAAGATGAGAATTCTTTTCTGGTGATATGTTAGCTTTGATTTCATTCCAATTTCCGTTGTTTGTCAAATTGATCCCTTCATTGTTTTATCATTCCGGGAAGCTTTAAGAGTGTTTTGGGTATGACAGTACTATGCGTACAGAAGGAACAATAACATAAATAGTTCCGCAGCAGCATAATTCTAACAGCTAGTTTTCTGTGCTGAATGTCCTATCTGTTACTTATGTTAGAGGTCGGACTGCATCGAATGTAATTCCATCGTAGGTTGAATTTGGAGGCACTTTAAGGAGTCTTACAACTGAAGGCTTGTACCGACTCAGGAGGCAATTGAAAGAGGTGAACGACATTTGTTGTTCTTTAACCTCATTCCATTAGACAGTTAGACTTAGCACAAACAATTCTGGATGTTTCCTTCATCACTCATCAGTAACTAGGTATCAACTATCTTGTTGTGAAAGAACAAAGAAATAAACGAGCGAAGCATTCGGTTCATAAGCTGAGATTTCTTGCAGGTTGTTGAAGGACAGGCAGCCGTGCATAGATGTAACGCATATGTTGACACAAAAGATGAAGAATACCCACCATTGCCTGCTGTTGTCAACGATGAAAGCTTGCATATGCAGGCACAGAGGGTCGGAAAACTTTTGCTTGGTCATGAGAATGTGAAGTTGTGCCGTAAAGTGATGGCAGGTGAAGACTCTGCCTTCCATCAGCAGTTGATTCCTGGAATCATGCTTAGCATTGGAATTAGAAATGAGGAAGCGGGTTCGGTTCACTCTCCGCACTCCCCTTCTTTCTTGATGAGGATGTCCTTCCAGTTGGGGCAGCATCACACGCTGCTTTGGCGGAGAGTTATTTGGACGAGCACCAGCATTATGCACACGTTGAAATTTGAGAGCCATTGGAGAAACCTTGATGGTTGCATACTGCTAGCCTTGTTATGGTGAAATTTCAGAAGTAGCTTTTGTGTAATGATACAGTTGTTTATAAATAACATAGAAGAAGTAGCTTTTGTGTAATATGAATCTGCAAAATCCTAAACCCAATCTTTGAGCCCATGCAAACTCCCAAAGTATACCCGAATACAGTTACCATGGAAGGATCCATGATTATAAGTTTCTGTGGTCAGAGGATCCATAATTATGTGGTTGTATTTTGAATCATGGTGGTGTTCGGTTTAATCAAGTTTGCTGACATTTTAGGTCTTTTGTGGAAGGGATTTTTCAGTGTATTCGGAATACGGGAGAAAACACCACATGTTATTATATAATTGGTGAAATTTTTTTTTTTTCAAGTGGCCCTCTAATTAAATAATGACATGTGGTGTTCCATTTCATGTTCCAAAAACATTGACTGCATTCTGTACACTAAGGCCCCGTTTGGCAGCACAGACTGTACTGACTATTTTAATCGGATAGGATAAATGGTCATCGAATAGAACTGGCTAAATTAGTCAGACGTTTGGTGCAATATCGGACTAATGACTGTATAATTTATACTATGTTTGGTTTAACATCGGATAAAACAATTGATGATTCAAGAAAATAGGGGAAAAAAAAACAAATTTTTACTAGTATAGTGAATTTCATCCTTGGATTTGCTCTCCAGACCTTCCTGCAGCCAAACCAGCACACGAACCCAGTATGCATGATATTATGAATTCACCAAAAAGCCAAGAAGTTGGAAAAATCTCCTAACCCATTTCTTCAACTGGGTTTGAATTTGCAACATACCCAACTCAGGGCGCACAAGCAAAAAAATAACATACAAATCAAATTTTTTTTTTAAAGATCTGAAAACCCCAAAATTTTAATTAAAACACAAATTTGCAATCAATTGAAAAAAAAAAAAATTGGAAGAAAAATAGGAGGAGGGCGGAGCAGTGAGAGAAGAAGAAGAAAAATTGCAGGAGGGCGGAACAGAGAAGGAGGAGATGGAGAAGAACCTCGGAAAAATTGCAAGAAAAATTGCGGGAGGGCGAAACAGAGAAGGAGGAGGAGGAGGAGAATCTGGGAAATATTGCAGGAAAAATTGAAAGAAATATTGCAGGAGAGCGGAACAGAGAAGGAGGAGAAGTTGCAAGCGATGCGAGATGGAGAGAGCAAACGATTCGGGACGAAGGCGATGAGGACGGAGAGAGCGAGAGAGGCGTGCTTTCTACCCGACTAAACAATACCGGGGATTTGATTGGTATAACAAAGCGGGTATGAGCCGGATATAAGGGGTGGCTGGGTTATTTAATCCGTTGACTATTTAGTACATAGGGTACCGTTTGGTACGCAGACGGGACGGGACGGAACGGGACGGGACAGGACGGGACGGAACGGGACGGGACAGAATGGATGTTCCGTGTTATGTTTGGTACGCGCAAGACGGAACGGGACGATTGTTCCGTTCTGCGTTTGGCAGCACATGGACGGAACGGAACCAAAAGATAAAAATGACTAAAATACCCATGTTCCGTTTGTTGTTTGGTACAATATTTATGCGTGGAACGGGATGAGACTTTTTTTTTTTGTTTTTTGTTTTTTTTTTTTTTTAACTTGTTCAAATTTTAACACTATATGCTTATCCATTATTTGTTTTTCTTGGTCCAAATTTTATTAGGTATATGTTGTGTTCCACTTGCAAACCCCTTTAAAATTTGTAATTCTTCTATGATTTAGGTTGATGAAGCCAGACTTCCTTGAGCCAGTAAATATTGGAAGTGATGAGATGGTTAGCATGAATGAGATGGCTGGTTCTGTCTATATGGTCATGGTTGCCATGCAATGTTGAAAAATATATAAGTTTAATGATCATGCATGACCAGAACAAACAAGCATATAATTGCACCATAAGTTAACATACATCGTCATATAGGGCGGTAAAGGTAAACAAATGCCTAAAAAATTACTAATTCTACCTCAAAGTAGTGCCTCTTGATCTCCATCTCAACATCAAGGCCAGTGAACTCACACAAATGCCTATGGGTAAAGGAGTCCTCAGCTCTAAAAACAGGACCAATCTCAAAAATACGACCGAAGTCACCACGTATAGCCATTTGCTTGTGAAGCTGAGGTGACTGGGCAAGGCAGGCATCTTGACCCTTGTAGTTGAGTCTAAAAACAGCAGCTCCACCTTCACTTGAACCAGCAATCAGCTTTGGCAAAAGAGCCTTCGGATTTCAAGAACTGCCCAAAGATCTACACAACAATGCAACCGACATACAGAACTAAACTCTTAACGATTTTCTCTAGCTTTAAAAAGATAAATACTGTAAATGGTGGAAAGACTACTTACATTGCCAACTTGACTCTGAATGCGAAATATCCCCTGATTCGCAGGTGTTCGCAAATCAAGAACTCGGTTATTCAAGCAGGTATCCTGATTAACTCGAACAAGTGTTTCTCCGGCCTATAAACCCATCATACCACCCAACGAATATACATGTACTAAGAGAGAAAGTCCCAGAAAGCTTAACAAAGCTTCAATAATCCATTTCAAAATAAATCATCTAAATGTACCTGCAAAGCCTTTTCGATTTCGATATCACTCCGAGCAGCATCCTCAATGTTAATAGGTAAAACAGCAGCCTTACTCACACAATACAACTTCCCCACTTACTCACACAATACAACTTCCCCACTTGAACCTCCACCTAATTAAGATCAATATGTCAATTATTTCAATCAAAACCCAATACAATCATAGGAACTTTCAATCAATTTCTTTCTTGTTTTTTTTTTTCCATTTTTTTTTTCAAGAACCTAATTAATAATATTATTTATTCATCAATTTCTTCTGAAAATCCATGGATATCATCACCATCAATTGCCCCAAAATCCCCAGTAGAAAAACAACCTTGTTTCCGCCCAAACCCCATCCACGGTTTTCATTGCCTAAACCCCAGCATGGCCCGTCCAACCTAAAACCCAGCGAAGAATGCACTCGCACTCCCAGTTGCACAAATCTTAACAAAACCCAGTAATTAACAAATCAAATCTGATAATTAACAAAACCCCGTAATTAACACAACCCAAATCAGCAACAAAAGACATTAATCGCATACTTGGGTCAATCTGCAGTGCGACGTTAGTGGCTCCGTGCTGCTGCGTGCTGGCTGGGTGCAGTCGACGGCTATGGGAGAGGATGAGGAGGAAGTCTACGGGAAGAGAGAGCAGCAAGGATTTAGGATTTGGATGGTGTAAATATTGAAAAAGACAAGGGTATTTTTGTCTTAAAATGTTATAAATTTGTGTCCCACGAACGTGGAACAAGTCGTTCCAGGGGGGAGAGGTGGAACCAAAAATCACTCAAAACTTGTCCCGTGGAACAGCGTGTTCCACCCATTTTAGGCTCACCAAACGTAGGACGGAACGTCTCGTCCCACTCCGTTCCGTCCCGTCCCGCGTACCAAACGCTACCTAGGAGCACCAAACACCTAATTTCGTATTATTAATCTTATTCGGGGTGTTATACGGTGTACTAAACAAGGCCTAATGTACACTAGGGTTTGACCCAGGATGCAATGGGTTGGATAGAAGGCCTTTAACCATCGGGGCAATTCACCAATTATAGATTGAATGTTTAGAGCTTAACATAAAATATGAAATCCCCCTAAATCCACCAAAATTCATATCTTTTTAATATCATTTAAATCAAATCCTGATTTAGTACACCTACACTTCAATAGACTTATTTCAAATCTTAAATGAATTCTTCTAATTTTTATTGACTTCTTTAAAATTTTAATTGAATATGATCAGCTAATATTTTAAACTTTTCAAAATCCCTCAAAATCTCTATTAAATATATAACTATGTTTATGTGATCATTATATCAGGTTAACTTAGTACTAGAAACAACTTAATCCAAAAATAATTGGGTGGTTGATTGTGATTACTTACTAACTAAGCCAATCAATCATCTAGATTCTTCTAACCTCCCATCGATCACAACGATTGCAAGCATTGGACCGCACGTTGGCCCTTTGATTAATTGGAATCTCTTAATTGATGCATAAACCTTTAGAAAGAACAAATCATTCTACACTACGTAATCTACATCTTCCAACTTTTTTTTTTATTAAGAAGAATGATGCTAGAGAGGTCATATACTTGAATCATATTTTGTAAATTATATAATCAATCTGACGATTGATGGTTGAACTCATTTAAATCATTACAGAAAGAATTCAATCATCAACCATTACATCATGAGATTTACACAATATGATTTAAAAATATGATCTTCCAAACATTTTCCTATAAAAATGGACAAAAGGTCAACCTAAATTCTATTTGGTCTGTCTTCTTTTTTGCTGATCAAACTTTAATTAAGGAGCTGCATGAGGACGTAGACGAAACAGATTATGTTGTTGGTTGGTGAAATTTGTTTGTCTTGGAAAATTTTGAGTGGTTGTGAAATCATTCACCAAACTTTTTGACTTGGAAGGGGACTTCTGTTGCTGTTGCTGACTCACTCCCAAGTGTGACCATCATGGGAGAAGTAGATTTATAAACTCACTCATATCAACTCTTTTATTATCACCGACATTTGACAAGTTGCATGGTAAATGTGGCGGAGTCAGGATTTTAGTTTAGGAGGGCCTTAAAAATCTCAATCTTAAATGCTCTCATGATCTTACAAAGATTACTTTGCCATGTGTGAGAAATTGACTACCGTCCTTTTGGTCTGGTATAGTGTTGTCCTCATCATCCTCTTCCTTAAACCTAAACTCAAAGTCCTTTTGACTTTTTTCCTCTTTCCCTCCAATGATCCCTAGACTACAGTTCTCCTCAAAGCTCACAAGCAACGGATTGCCACCAACCTCATATCAAGCCCGATAAAAGAAATTAAAGTAAAACGTTGGTTTGGGGCCTTGAGCCTACAAAAAGGCCTTGAAAATCATAAGCATAATACTAAACTTTTGTGTGTGAATAAAATGTCAGAATCAATGGGTCTCGGATCATCCTGGTCCCTCATAGCTTTGCCTTGGTGAAATAAGAGTAATTTTGTTTTCAGGCTTCCACATTATATTACATGTTCACTCATATCAAACAATCTATATTTCAATACTATACTCTCCACCTATAATATACCAAAACTATAATATATCAATTAATAACACCATATGACGATATGAGTGTTACACTCAAAAGTTTATCGTGAAATAATATACCCATCACTCTCTTAGTGCAGAGAAGTGAGAACTAATTGAATATTCAGCAAAGAGAAATAAAGAAATAAGCTTTTTGAATGACTTGAAGAAACATCAAAAGAAAGAAAAATTGACAAAGATGAACGGGAGAGGACTAAGCTTTGTGATATGGAGGAAGCAACCCATGTGAGATATCAACTGTACTATAGCTGGATCGTATAATTTTTGTTTTGAAATACACGAAAACTTGGAATGCAAAATTTCGCATCCCCACGCTTCATCCATCCCAACTCAGTTATGCATAATTCATGAAAATTGGAATTCTCTTTGCTTAATTTGGAGTTTTCTTCTGGTATTGAAGGTACGTACTAAATGTTTGTGAAGAGTTTAAACACTTTGATTAATTCGTTTCCTTTATCACGTAACTTTATTCTTTTTCTTCCCTACAGTTAATGGCTAAACTAATTAGGACCACCAAGAAAGTAGGTCATCATGGTCTAAAAACAGTAATAAAACATGCAGAACAGCGTATACCCAGAATAGTGTACATATATTTACTTGTTTAAATTGATCACCCCAAGTAAGGCATAATCATCGAGTATTATTTGAGGTTTGGAGATTGTCTCAAATCAGAAAGTTAAGCAATTTTGTATGTCTAGAGCATATGCTTAAGTGTCGTCGTACGTGAGAGAGTTTGTGAAGATGTAGAGTGATGTCTCTCATCGAAGAAATCTTGCATATTCTTATTGGGAATTGAGCCATTCGCTTTTGCTAATTGGTTATTTGGTTTTATAGTAGGAACCACAACTTGCTTTAGATTATCAGTAAAATAGTACATAGATAGACAACCAAGTGGTAATGATGGATGGTTGATCATGCTCCACCTGATTACCTACAACTAAAATACTTCCAAGAAAATTATGTCATGCCATCCATTTTAATTTTTTCAACATAGCACTGCGTAATTAGTTTGTGACAAAAAAAAAAAAATCTCCTTGTGCGAAGTTTTCTTAGTTCTTTGAATAAGTTGCTTAAGGACCAAGGTATCCAGGTTGTCCACACAAGAATAAGATGGTTACACATGTGTGACACTTCACCACCTCGTCATGAAAAATCCACCTGTCGGTGGTGATGGAATTATTAATTATAATTTTTATTTTTCAGTTGGTTAATTATCTTTTTGTCATCTTTTTCTTTCCCTCTCCTCTATCTATTCACCCCTCTGCTGCTCTATAAATCTGCCAAATCTGCTCCACCGGTATCTCCTCTCTCTTTTTCTGCCTCATCAGCCTTGGGGATTGCAAAAAAGAATTCAAAAAAAACATTATTAAGAGCTTCTTTTTGTATAATTTGGTGGCTCTGCATGTGCTCTAGAATAACACACTGACTTTTTATCTAATAAACCAACTGCAACCGTCCATCCATTATACTCTCTCATCGCTCGTCTCTCACTCCTCTCACCTGCATATATAAATTAACACCACCTTCTCTTCTAGCCCTCTCCCCTTCTTTCTTTCTATCTTCTGCACTTAATTCTTCTGTCTAATTTTGGAGAACTCAAAGTTCATACTCATAATTGACTGAGATAACAAATGGGTGAAGAGGCTAAGCAGGTTAGTGTACTGCATTAATGTTTTCTAATTGGCTTGTTTGGGTCTGCATGCATTTGTTGTGTTAATACTGTTTGGCTTCTTTCGTGAAAGGAGTCATTCCTCATTTCTACAAATAAAATTGATATCAGTTGAAATAAGTCATCAAACACACAAAGCAAAACATTTTTGCACGCATGTTAAACTGTGAAATGTAATTTTTATTGGATAGGAGCAAGCTAAGGCAGAGGAGAAAGCCGAGGTGAAAGTAGAGGAAAACAAGGACGAGAAGGCAGAGGAGGAAAAGAAGGAAAAGCCGAAGCCGCCTTCTCCTTTTGTGTTGTTTGTAGACTTGCATTGTGTGGGATGTGCAAAGAAGATTGAGAGGTCCATCATGAGAATTAGAGGTATTTCCTCTCTCACTCTCTCTCACGAAAGTAGCTTACTTACGACAAAGAGGGCACTCTAACAGTATTCCACACCTATTACGCTCTATGACATCGATATTGCATGGAAGTTCTTTATGTTTATAATTGGTGTGCATTTTTGTTTTTGAAATGCAGGAGTGGAGGGGGTTGTGACAGACATGGCAAGAAATGAAGTGACCATAAAGGGAATAGTGGAGCCTCAGGCAGTTTGCAACAAAATCATGAAGAAAACCAAGAGAATAGCAAAAGTCTTGTCCCCATTACCAGCTGCTGAGGGTGAAGCTATTCCAGAAGTTGTTGCTTCACAGGTAGTCCAACCAAAACCCTTAATCAAAATTAATCAATAAATCACATTAAAGCGTAAATTTGTTTAAACACTTGACTAATAAGTAGTGGTTCTTCTTGCAGGTTAGTGGACTAGTAACTGTGGAACTCGAAGTTAACATGCACTGTGAGGCCTGCGCAGAGCAACTCAAGAGAAAGATACTCAAATTCAGAGGTATATATCCATTTTTTTCTTTATGATTTTTTGAGATAAAAGAAACTCTTTGTCCACAACTTATTGTCTGTTAAACTAATTGATAAATTAATTGCAGGAGTTCAAAGTGCTGTAACTGATCATAGTAGCGGGAAGGTGATGGTGACAGGGACCATGGACGGGGACAAGCTAGTAGAATATGTGTATAGACGAACCAAGAAGCAAGCCCGAATAGTCCCACAACCCGAGCCCGAACCCGAGAAGAAGGAGGAACCAGCTGCAGAAGAAGCAAAACCCGAAGAGAAGAAAGAAGAAAATGCAGAGAAAAAAGAAGAGGAAAAACCGGCAGAAGGGGAGGCAAAGAAAGAAGAGGGCGGAGCTGAAGGCGGAGAAAGTAGTAATAAGGAGGGGGAGAAAGGTGGTGAGGAGAACAAAGAAGAGGAGAAGAAGGTGGAAGAGATGATGAGTGGCAGTTACGTAAATAGTGGAATGGATGAGGAACGTATGAAAAGAACGATGCAGTACTATTACCAACCTCTTTACGTTATTGAGAGAATCCCACCTCCTCAGCTGTTCAGTGATGAGAATCCCAATGCATGTTGCATTTCATGACCAACTTGATCATGGTCAATAATCCTTCTATATTCCATAATAACAGTGCATTTTGTTATGTTACCTAATTAATTACGTAATGTAAAAATTGTTTTACATATAGTAATTAGCAAGTACCACCACTCGTGACCAAAATTTTAGACAAGTTTTGAGTTTGGTGGATGGTGGTTGGTGTCAAAAGTAATATTAATATATATGTTTCATCCAAATTGATCCATAAAATATATATAAGCTAATCATTCTATATTATATACAAGATTAATACATTGTTCCATATTATATTGTGTAAGACATTGTCCCTTGCTAATATATATGGATTCTAAAGGATATTGGAACAACCAAAGCAATGAACAAGAATTATATAAGTGTATATTTCGATGAGGGTTTTACAAGATTCAAGGGATTGGTGTGGAGCTACGAAGAAACGAACTGCAAAATATAACATGGATGGGATTAGAGAGACTCTCTATGACAAAGACATGTCGACTTGCAAAATCCTATTTGAGAGGGGTAATCTCCAAAACCCCATCACATGTTTTTGTAATGCTGACGAAGAGTTTTTCTAATTCCCTTCATATTATATTTTATGGTCCATCAAAACCCTATCACTTTCATCAAAACTAGAGACATGTACATTTCAAGGAATGCATTTATTATTCACATGGATTATTAGGTTTTTTTTTTTTTTTTTTTTTTTTTTTTCTTGAAGACAACCGGTGATAAATCATAATTATTCACCTCTTTTGAACCAAACAAACTAATGAAAAAATTTACTTTGCCTGTGGCCATATGGATAATTGGTTAAAAGGATACAAATTTGATTGGGGCTGTCGAGATTTCCTAAGATAAAATAGAGGTGTGGGTTTCACATGGTGGAAATAAGGACACCAGGGCATCACATCGAAAGAGGAGTCATGAGTGGGACCCACAATCAAAGACTAACGTGGAAGAGATGGTGATGGCATCGCACCTGTCTATTTGTCGTTTTATCGCATTCACAGAACAAGGCACGCCCCCGCCATGGCCAATGCATGTCATTTGCTTCTCAAAAGTGGAAGACAATGTGAGGTCGATCGGGTAACCAAAAGGCCAAAAAGGAGAAGAAGTGTTTGGAACTCAAAGTAGTCAATCTCCTCTCTCTGAGAAATATTGTACTCGACTAATAAGAGGACTTATTTAATATCTAGTTCTGTAAGAACATAGAGAACTTTAATGACATCCGTGTTCAATTTATGTAGCAGGGAATTCAATTGCAATGCAAAATATAACAATCCCAAACAAATTAGGATTTGCAATTTTCTTCCTATAAGATTTTTCTATACATATTTGGATCAATATAGCCCATCTAAATTACATAGACTCGGAGAAGCCAAACTTGTTATATAATAAAGTACGTTAAGAAAACAATAGTTAAAAAACGTAGTGTTAGAAGTCAAAAGCTAAAGCCTGAAGGGTGATTAAAGCATCAATGAAGATTAAAACTTTTAAACTTTAAAAGCTACTTTTTTAACACGAAATAAGGCATACATCATCTTAACTTCTTGATTATTTTCAACGCAATTAAACAAAGTAGAAAATTACTTTTATTGTGGGACTAACCTATCTAGTCTGTATATGCATGGTCCATCCAGTGTTTTTGAATATTGGTACCTTCTAGACTTACAGAAATTTGAGGGATATTTCTAGAGGATTTAAATTAGAGAATCGTTTATAGTCCGGTGAGAGTGGTAATTAAGATGATGGGTAGAAGTAGGGGATTCAGCTTTCGAAACTTTTAATTTGTAACAAAAAAGAATTAAAATATCATTTATTGTTTTAAATAATTTTAATTGGCATGAACATCAATTTTCAAGTTAGGGTTCATCTGTTTTGGTACGATCAAGAAATTAAAAAAGAACTTGCATGCATGTGCATGGCGGCATAACCAATGAGAGCGCAAAAGGATGAGATGATGCCGACAGTACGTAATGCGCGGGCACATATGTATATAAAATAAATCGAGAGGAATTACATGATCGAGAGATATATTAAAGTTAATTAGGATTACGTTAGTTAAAGTTGTTGTAAGTTCCAAAGTCTGAAAGCCAAACTTAGTTGATAAGGAAAACAAGCCACATGGGAGTCGTAATCTGAAACTACATATATACAACTGATCGACCAGCAGATATGCATGCATGAAGGGGAGAATACATATATACACTGCACTTTTTTTATGTCCAACGATGTAAAGCCATGTAAAGCCAGCGCTGCTGACACATCCTTCCACTCATCTCACACTCATAATCCACATCCTTCCAATATCCAAACCAAGATTTATCCAATCAAAGTATCTTTAATAAACTTTAATGAGGAATAATTATTGCTTAATAATCTTTATATTATCAAATGAACTGGTCAATCGGCAGCCGTGCATGGTAAAGCTTAAACAGAAACATGATTAAGAAAACACAGTACTCTATCAGCCTAGCTATACCTTTTCTTTTTTAAAGATATCTTGGAATACTTAGCTGAGTCGACCTCCTACGGTGTCTAGTAACTTAACCCTACATAAAGCCTTGCAAATGTGATACAAAGATTAATGGAGATAAGGGAAACATCTCAAATGACCAAGTAAGAATAACAGCAATCTCTGATTCTCTTGCATGCATTCGTATATATATCTTGAATCTTATATAGTTAAATTAGGGTTTGGATTTGAATATGGCCGATATGCAAATCGTTCCCGCCTGCAAAAACGTAGAGGCGCAGTATGTGGAGATGATGGTTCCTCTCTATTCTCATGGATGTGAGAAGAAAATAGAGAAGACCCTCTCCCATCTCAAAGGTAAACTACATATCTCTATATGTATATATTAGGATATATTACTAAGCGCCATCATTATCAATATTTTTCTTATGTATTTTTAGTTGAAAATCATAGCACAAAGAAACCAAAAATATTAATATTTTCTAACCTTTTCTTCAACCGAACAATGCAACATTGCAAGGTGGTCAGTCTCCTTAAATTTCATGTTCTAATTTGTTGTTTTGTGTGTGCCCGCCCTCTAGGTCATGAGTGAGACATTATATATAGTAGCAGTCGTTTCCTTCGTTTCTAGGTCATGATGTTTGTTTAATTTGACCAGGCCTGATATCCTTGGTCCTTCACAAAATTGCAGCCTGCAATTAGACAACTCTTGTGGGCCTGTGGCTATACATTAGGGTTTTCTTTAATTTTACTGGCTGGGTTAGTCCAGAAGGGGAATTAAGCAGCAATAAAATGTGAACTAAACCCTAATTAATGTTGTCTTGTAACATTATTTATATGTACTTGCAGGGATATACTCAGTGAAGGTGGATTATAACGAACAAAAGGTGACGGTATGGGGAATATGCAACAAATATGATGTGCTTGCAACAGTAAGGAGCAAGAGAAAACACTCATGTTTTTGGAACTCTGAAGACAACATTGCCTTAGAAGATCAATCAGCAGAACCACCGTCAGTGACAACACCACCACCTTGCTCTCCCCCTCCTCCCATTACTACTCTTTCAAGTTTTAAATACACAAAGCCTTCTTTGGCTCTGATTAAGGTTCGATCTTTGAGTTGGAAAGCATGGACTCCATGGAAAAAAGTCTTCAATAGGTCCTATTCATTACCCTCAAGGCTGAAGCTCAACGTGAATTGATTATTTGTAACGATTGATAAGAAAATGTAAAAGAAGAGATTGCTTGCTGCTTTCCTCTTGTTGCAATTTGTATTAGATAACTAATGAGTACTTTAATTGAGTGCAAATTTAATCATCTGTCAATAGAAGCTGGTATTGTTTAGAAGCTGGTATTGCTTGCTTCTTTGGCTCTGCTTTCCTCTTGTTGCAATATATTGTTTAGTTACTGTTAAAAGAAGAGATAATGTTAAAAATATATATATAGTCGCGACATGCAATTTTTTTAATATAATATATTATGACTTATGTAATAGCTTACAATAAGAAGACTGAGTGAGACATATATGTAAAAATTTCACCGTAGTAGTTCGTAAACATGATTTTCTCCATGATCGACATCCTTTCACTTTCGTGGTCAAAAGAAAATGGGTACTGGCCTTATCTATCCCCTCTTTACTCTTTATCTATATTCAAAATTATTTGGCAGGATTTGACAAATTTCTTCCTTGTTATCTCTTTGGTAGGGTTCAGCATGATGATCATGTGCCCATATACTGTTACCAATTTACTGCAATTCAAAATTGTAATACTAACTAAATAACATGACATATATATATACAAATGCACAAAAATCACAAATGTTAAGTCAGATACATGTGGAAAAGAGAATTGGATTCTATCCGGATTCAAATTGTCGAGATCCTAGAAATCCTTACATTTTAGTCATTCATTATGTATCGTGCAGTTAGAAATCATTTGATTTTTTATTATTTAAAATTAAATATAAATAATACCTAATAAAAATTAATCGTAAGATATACGATGAATGACTATTCCTAAAATTCCCACAAATCGATGCAGGGAGGATCCTGTTCCGTGGGAAAGCAACATAAAGCAGACCACATGGCGTTTTTCCATGCTTATTTGACGCGAATTGTCATATGGGTAGTACACAAAGACCTTTCTAACTTTTAAGCCACTGCACGCCCATCCTTCCAAAACCCTCCACTGGGTTCTTGCCACATCAGCCAACAAAATGCGTTGAGGTGATAACGGTACAAGCAAAAGTCTTAAAACCAGGCGAACAAAACGTGATGAATACCACTTTAATCATTACATTTTGATCCAGATATTTGATCACGGCGTGCGTAAATTGGGTGAAAAAGTCTCTCCATATGGTAATTTTGATCCATAATCCACGTTATGCCTAACTTGATACGAAAAATAAATAGAAGATACCAGAAAGTTCAAAAAACCCAACCAGAAATAGAATGTAATCTGTATGGATTTATTGCATTTTTTGCCGTTACCGTGGTATCCATTATCTTTAAAATCAAATCTGGCCAAATAAAGTCCGCCCGTTACAACAACTAAAAGGTATATATAAGTCACCAACAATCTACGACTTTGAAACAGAGAATTGAAGATCGTAATTTCTTACGCTACCTCTCTCTCTCTCTCTCTCTCAGAGTCGCGCTCTCGCTCTCTTAAAAGGAGGCTCTACAATTTGTGTGGGGTGAGAAAATTAATTATAAAAGAAGGGATGATAAGGGTAGGCATTGTTGCAGAGCTGCTAGGGTTATACGCGGCAGCGCTTGCGAGGATGACGGAGCAGCTTGTACCGGCAAGGCAGCGCAGTGCCAGTTTTCATGGTCTCGTGAATAATCTTCGTCTAGCTTCGCGGCCGGCCTCCACTCACGACGCTGCTTCTTCCTTCTATCTATATTTTTAAGCTAGTGTACGTCACTGATGGATACACACTCAAGCCTCATGAGATGGATTGGGCGGCTTTCTTTCTCTAATTGGTTGCTTAATTTGCAAGTCTTTCATTGATATCTTTTTCTTTGGTTACTTTATCTCTGTATTTATTTCTTGATGCTGCAGTATACTTTCATGAAAACGGTGTATATGAAATCTTTGTTTTCTGCCGTAATCTTTATTAGTTTAATTTATCTCATTATTAGTCATACATGCATATGTAATCTTGGATCATATATTATACAAATTTATACTGCAGGCAGCAGGTTTTTGTTAATTAATTAGTCTCTTTTTCATTTTTTTAGTACAAAATAATGCTGCGATTTCGAGAGACTTCAGAAATATTGTTTAACTAATTACCTAATTTAAGAAAAGGGGTTATTAGTATTCTATTGATTGCAGATCAAGCCTCAAGCTGAGTCAATGGAGTATAGCCCGTTATCAGTAAATTTAAAAAACCTGAAAAATGCTTTGAGACAAATATTGGTTCAATTATAATAAAATTGGTTTAATTTATCAGACCCTCTTTAATTTGGTCCATTTGCAACTCCCTTGCTCTCATAAGTATGGACCAAACCTTGTCGAGTTTTGCGATGAAGCTCGTGATCATAAATTACTCTAGAACTCTACAACTTTCGTATCAAACTGGATAAAACTGGATAAGTATAAAATTGGTGCAAAACTCAAATACAAAGAGTCATGTTTTTGAAAGAGTATTTTGACCAAGTACGCAGTCACGCTTTTCCCTTATTTACAAGCGTTTAAACTAGGGTCTCATGCATTAATATTTGTAATAATGAAGAATGTTATAGGATGTAATTAATTCACGTATTATAATATGAGTGAATCATAAATTTAAAGTATATAAAAAAATGAAAGAAAAATACATGCGTTATAATATAATACAAATTGATTTGTTGACAAACAATATTACGATCTCCATTAAAGACTTCAATTTTAAGACCTAGATTCATACATACAAGTCCATATTCTTCCGTTTCTTACTCACAATTTGCAGATGTCAAAGTTGAACATTGTACTTTGTTTATACAACAATACTGAGAGTAGAAGAATCGAACTTAAGACGTCAAACGCAAATGATTAATATTAAATTTTCAGTTAGACTTGAGAAAAATGATGAAATAAAATATTTTTGTTCATGCTCACTCCCCATTATTATCGTTAGAATAGTTTAAATTTTGATATTCGTGTCTTTAATTAATTAAACCAAACTAATATAACAGTAAAAAGGTTGCGTCACCAATTCACCCCTACTTCAAGGAGGTGATAGAAAATGCACAAAGATGAAAAACAAGTTCAAAGGGGAAGAAAAACGAACTGTCAAAAAGTAGGTGGAGGTAAATCATTTATGCGAAATGAGAGGGGCTTCTTTGTAGATAAGCGAAATTCAAAGGCCAAAACCAATCAGAGTGACTTTTACCCGAAATTCTCTTTCCTGGTTTCTCTTAGACGGTGAAGACCCGGAGGACACTCTGCCACCAGTCTCTCTCTCTCTCCCTCACTCGTCACTCCTCTGGTATGAATTTCTCTCCGATTACTGCGAAATCTCTGATTTCTTGAATTATTTCCAGATTGGTTTTTGATTCTGCTGTTTTTGCCATATTCTGTAATCTGGGTTTTCTTATTGATGTAGCTGTAGGATATAGTTAAGCAAGACGACTATATATATATATATATATATATATATATATATATCTCTATCTTCTAGGGAACGCTGCTTGTTTACAAATTTTACAGCTTTTGTGCTTTTATTTCCTCCTTGTTTTACCCAGTTAATTGGGCGATTGTTGAAAAGGGATGCTCTGACCGTCGTAATATATTGTAAGCAGCATCACCAATTCTTTCATTTTTTGCACGATTCTCAAAGATGATAATAATTTAATTGTGAATTGATTATCTTTATGCTGTTTGATACATGGGTTCTTCATAAAGTTTTGATTTTTGTAGTGAATGTTCATGTTTTTGGAAATTTTAGCTCTGATTGTTATTTCAAATGGCTTTGAGATGATTTAAATTTTAGTGGGTCTTGATCTATTTACTTAATTTGTGTGTTAGAACCAAGGTCTAAGAATGGCGGGATTTGTGCCTTATGGAAATGGAGGATTTTATCCATATTCTTCATCATCGTATTCAAGCTTATCGGCTTTAGCTCCACCTTTTACTGTCGATCGGTCTGTGCCGAAACCCATGTCTAGCCCACTTGATGTGATTGAGACACCTTATGTTGCCCCCATAAATTCTTCTTTGCACAGTTGGCTTCCTTCTCACCCAATCACTACGGGGTCTAATTTCTTTGTCAATCCATCCCCAGATTTCAATTCAATTCCTTCATCAAATGTGTATGGATATGCAGGCCTGCAGACTGTTGAACCATCCGTTACAAACTTGCCTCCTTTGAACACTATTACCACCGCTTCATCCAGTGTGTTTAAGTATGATCAATCCTTCGATCCTGCTGCAACTAGTTTTGTTGAGGCAAAACCTTATTATCCCTCTTATCTATCCTCAACAATTCCGAGTGTTCCCCCCATGGTGGTTCCTAATCAACCTAGTCATGATTGGCTGTCAACTACTCATTTCGCTCCCTTGGATAGCACCTCTCACAAGGATTATGGTCAAAACCCTTCTGATCCAAAATATACTACTCAGTGTGGTGGCTTGCGGGAGTGGGAGCAGGGTAAACAGGGAGACTTTAGTGGAAATTTCTGCTCAAAGAAGACTGATGTTTCCAGCTCATCACTGTACAAGAATTACATGAAACAAGGTATGTCTCCCCCAAGTTATGTGCCTATGGAATTTTTCCAGTGCAACTACTTTTTTTTTTTTTTTTCACTCTCTTTGTTATGCAACCCTACTCTATTTCCCCCTAACTATCTGTGTAATGTGCAGACCCCTCTTGTGAAGAAGCATCACATAGCATCAATATTCTGGGTTGGGAAAAGCATGGTGGATCTGTAAGTGCAGAGCACTCAGGTGATAAATCCTTTGTGGCGAAAAATTCCAAATTCATCCCTGCTGACTTTTCAAAATCTGTCACGGGGTCATTTTCAGCAGTTCCAGAAGCCCATCCTAAGGCATCATCCTCACAGTTTGTCACAAACACCACAAACTGTAAAACACCGTACAGTGTGTTCTCTGAGCAACGACGGAATGATGCTAATATGGATGATATTTCGTCCACTTCAAAGTCTTCCTCAGCCTTTGCCACTAGAATACCATTTACTGGCCCTAAATCTTCAGAACCAGAGATAGGTCTGTTCAAAAGGTTGAATTTCAGAAGTGGTGCAGCTGAGACAGATCGTGGTCATTATTATACCTCTAGTGTACAAGAGTCTCGTCTGCCACAAGTTTCTGAAGGCAACGGTCATTTCAGTTCAAGCCAACTTGACAGTCTACTTGGAATAAATGATAGCTTCTTCATAGAAAGAAATGAAGAGCTGTCAAATAATAGAAGTCTCAACAAGAATCCCTGGGATCATGTGTTTAAAGCGAAATCTGGACTTGAAAATCCTCATGTTAGTCCTGGTGGTTTTAATGTGGCACTTAATACAAATGAAACCGTCACTTCTTTTCCAATTTCATCTGACAATGTAGATCCTAATAATCCTGCTGTGGACTCGCCTTGCTGGAAAGGAGTTCCTGGTAGTCGTTTTTCTTCATTGGAATCCTCTGAAGGAGTTCCAGAACAGATAAAGAAACTAGAGGACTGCAATGGTTTGCATTTTCCAATGCCACTGATGTTTCCACTAAATGCTGCGGAAAATGTTTCCTCCCAAAAGCCTGTCAAGAACACAGTTGACTACCATGATCTTGGGTGGCTGGAAAATGGTCTGACCCTTCCTTTGAAGAGATATTCAGTTGAAAACTCAGCTTTTGGAGAACATAAATTAGATGATGCGATGAAGACCACTTATGACTCAGAAGCAAGCCATGATAGAGGACCTCAAAGTTACAGGGATGTCCTCCATAAATCAGGGAATGGGGACAATTCCTTTGGTCTCTTTGGCCATTCTCACACCATGGAACAAGGTCATGGTGGAGAAGTTGGATTAGCAACAGAAATAAGGAAAACAACATTGAGTTGTGGTCCAGATGTTAAACTGAATGTCAGTGACACCATGGAATATGGTTCACCACATGTGCCTTCTCATGCTGTAGAAAATATATTGTGTTCATCTGTACAGGATGCACCTACTAAGCTTTCCAAATCTGATGGGGAGGATACTATGCTAAAAGTGGATGCACGTATGCTGGTTGATACAATGAATAGCTTGTCAGAATTGCTGCTTAGTAATTGTTCATATGGCTGGGTTCAATTGAAGAAAAATGATAATGAGGCCATAAAAGCTGTGATCAATAACCTGCATATCTGCATATCAAAGAACGGTGAGAATTTGTCGCCGACACAGGAAATGCCATCGTTCCAGCAAAACACTGCTCAGTGTAATGGAGAGTTCACAGAGCATAATAAGGTATGCTGCTTAAGTTTTTGGAATCTTATTTCAGACTTAATTTTTCAAATGAATAGCGGGCGCTTCACCATGCAGTTACTACCTCATACTCTAGTAATGTTTTGCTTGGCTGAATAATTTCTTCAGGTTGTGAGTACAGACAGGGGCCCGTTGGCATCCGCCTCTAACATTCAGGATGAAGTTATTGGTTCTGTCTTTGGGAAAAGTGACAAAAACATGGCAAAAGAAGATAAAATGACTCAGGTACCCCTATCCCTAGCATCATAATGTAAAATGTCAAGTTTTATTTCTTCCCGTTGGGGGATGAGGAAGTACAAAAAGTTATTTATTTTGCCATGGACCTCGGTTTTGTAGGCTATAAAGAAGATTCTTAGTGAAAATTTTCATGCTGAGGAAACAGACCCTCAAGCCCTCTTGTACAAGAATCTTTGGCTCGAGGCTGAAGCTGTATTATGTTCCATTAATTATAAAGCTCGTTTTAATCGTGTAAAGATAGAAATGGAAAACTGTGAGGCAGAGAAATCCAAAGGTTAATACTCTTACATTGCTGCTGTAGTTTTGTAACCTATAAATGATAAACTTTGACCTTATCTTTATTTTATGATTGTGTTTCAGACGACTTTATACATAATGCAGATATGATGCAGCAATCAGTGTCGGAGGTTTCCCCTGATTCAAACCCAGTCAATCCATTGACGTTTGATGCTCAGGAATTTCCAACTTCAAATCTCCAGGATTTGCCTGTATTAAGCCAGGAAAATGATGTATTGGCCAGATTTCGTATCTTAAGGGAACTTGTTGAGAACACAAATTTGATTGGTGCTGCCAATGGGGGTGAATCCAGCTCCAAGGTTTCTGAACCGAACAAGTTTGATAATATTCCTCCTGAAGTAGATGGTAGCTCATCATCACATGGTATTTCCATTCAGGATTCTCCTACATCAGATACAGTTGGGATGACAGATGATTACAACGAAGCTTCTGTTATGGCCAGATTTCGTATCATAAGAGACCGGGTTGAGAAATCAAAATTCATTAGTTTTTCCAATATGGAGGAATCATCCAGCTCCAATGTGTGCCTTCAACCCAAGACAGACATAATTGCACCCAACGCAAGTGATGTCTCGGCACCTGAGTTCAGTTTCCAGGATTCTTCCATTTCTATCAACACCAGCCAATCAAACGCTTTTGAGGCTTCTGTTCTGTCCAGGCTTAATATCCTCAAATCCCGGATTGAAAACTACGCTGACTTGCATACTGAAGGGCAACTTCTTCCAAAACCCAAGTTATCTGCAGTTGCACCTAACACGAGTGATAGCTTACTGCCCGAGTTCAAAATCCAGGATTCTCCTTGTTCTAGCACAACCGGCCTGTCAAACAACTGTGAGGCTTCTGTTATGCCGAGGCTTCAGATCCTTAAATCCCGGATTGACAACTCTTACATGCATTCAGAAGAGCAGCAACTGCTGGAAACTGATGGTCTTGGATATGCTGGTAAGAGAAACCCCTGGCCGTTTATAAGCAAGAGATCAGAGGGTGGAAGTTCAGAACTGAAAGAGCAACCTATTTTTCAGAGTCATGAAGCTGACAGTAGTGAAGGTAGTATGGTTGATGCTGAGGCGTTCGATCTGTTCGTGGATGGTCCACCGACAGATAATCGGAACTGTCCTGGGAATCTGCTTCCGGCGGGTTGGCACGATAGCTCTTCCTCGGATTGGGAACATGTCTTGAAGGAGGAGATTTGGGGGCAGAACTGATGAACCTGATGCTGGAAAGAAAACATCCCTTCCTGGATGGTGGATGATTCCTCGTTCTTCTTTGCGTGTGTCCAAATTAAAAACTCAAAAAAAAAAAAAAAAAAAAAAAAAAAAAAAAAAAGGGTTGAAAAAAGAGGTAAATGACTCTGGATATAATATGTTTGTACAAAGTTCTTGAACTTAATTTGAATTGTTCGGAACGAGTGTGTTCTAGAATTATGTAATTACGATCGATTCTCCTAGTCTAGAGTTATGTAATTACGATCGAGTCTTCTAATCTATTTATATTGTGTGGGAAGATGCGTGCATGCTTGCATTTCATCAAGAAAATTCAAATATTAATTTTACATTTCATTCTGTGTGCCAGAAATAATGTCATTATACAAGCAGAGGGGCACTTAAAAAAGAATTCCATCCACTTGTACAATAGTACATAGCGGCGGAGTCAGAAATTTGCAACCACAGGGTCATAAAATAGAAAGCTTCCAAAAATTAAACATACTTATACTTATAATTGCTAATTTATAATTTTTTTTTCTGCAAAATTTCATTCAAAATCAATCAATACAACAATTCTAAAAAAATCTTAGGATGAGAAAAAACAGATATGATTGGGATTTGTGATACAATCATGTGAGATGAGGTGCCTGACCGAGCTGAACACTGTAGAAGCTTTGAATTAAGAGATATGAAGTCTAGGTGTAGAAGACATTTGTGCGTTTGGTAAGTCTTTAGCTTATTTGAGAATTAGCATGCTAAATTTTTTAAGTGAAATAGAACACAAACAACGTAAATTTGGTTTGTGTCAACTTAAATAATAGGGTTGTGCTATCCACACATTCCATTTTACTTCTTACACACCTTTTTAATTTTCGTCCGTTGGATCGGATGAATTGAAGAAGATCAATGGACAAAAATTATCAAGGGGTGTGTGAGAAGTAAAACAAGGTGTGTGGATAGCATATCCCAAATAATATTGATTAAAGGTCTCCTTATTTCATTTGTCTTAGCTAGTATAAAGGTCAAATGAAATTTCGAAGGGGGATTTTATATGTTATTGGGGTTAGCAGCAGCCAGTGCTTCTACATTGGCTCTGCAATTGATAACATATGACGTATCATCTTGTGTTATGGACACACTGAAAAATCTCACTCCAAAAGATAAGCACTCCTAGACTTATAACGCAGATGGTTAGTGTTAACAACAATTTTCTTATGATTTTGCCCTAGAAAGTAATTTCTACACCGTTTTTAACCTTCGACATTCTCCCTCTTGTTTTCATCTAGTTATTAAATCGAATAAATTTAAAAATAATCAAGAGACGCGATTAGGAGAATAAGTGCAGAAGTTGTTTGTCATTACATGTTTAATGTGTAGGAAGTTGGATCCTCACGGATCTTAGTGTCCAGAGCCTAAGAATCAGTAAATCTGAACACTTGGTTTGTGTAAGGAACGTCAGCCAAATGAGTTAAAGAGGATTGTCAGATTTAGTTTGAATGTTCAAGATTGCCTTTGAGCTCTGAATGAGTCTCTATCCTATCCAATGTCTATCCAATCTAAATTGTGGAATAGAAGATCGGACGTGGGTGTATGGATAGGCAGATTGTCTCACGGCCAACCCAACCATACCGAGTCTACAATGTGCCAAATTTTGAAAGAGTATCCACCCTGGATCCAGTCTTAATTTACATTTTCTTATCCATTTACACAACTATTTGACAACTGGAATTCTAAATAATTATCTTCGCACACGGAAAGTAAAAAAAATACAAACCTGCATTTTGAATCCTTCCATTTGGCATTTTTTTTTTTTGGCAGAAAGTATGCAATCCCAGTTAAAACTTAAAACCTAGATAATGTTTCTGGTGGCATTTAGTGTGATGCTATAACAGTTGAAGTTTCGTCATATGAACCACCACGCTTGTCCTCTTTCTTCTACTTGCTCATCAAATATTTTAAATCTTTGATGACTTCGCTGGGGGGCAGCTACCAGCTTGATTTCCTGGGTTTTCAATAATTAAATCGCGATTAAACACGCATTTGCTGGCTATAAATACAAATCGTTATTCGATAATCCTTCATTAAGTTAAGCGGGGTAATTAACCAGTAAAGAAAATGAGTACTCCGCTAAATCTAAGTCGTGTTTTCAGACTTTTAGTTGTGGTCTCGTTTTTTCAGAGTGTTCATTCGCAGCTCCAAGTAGGGTTTTATACAACTTCGTGCACCTTAGCAGAGACAATCGTTAAGGACGAGGTTCAAAAAGCTTTCTTTCGGGATCCAGGCGTCACAGCCGGTCTTGTGAGAATGCACTTTCATGACTGCTTTGTTAGGGTAGGATTTAACGTGCTTGTTATAACTTGACCCACACGGTAGAAATAATGTTAAAATTTTAATGAATGTTTGAATGTTGCTCCTTTAGGGTTGTGATGCATCAGTGCTCATCGATTCTACTTCCTCGAACACGGCAGAAAAGGACTCGCCGGCAAACAACCCAAGTCTTCGAGGGTTCGAAGTCATTGACAAAGCAAAGGCCAGACTTGAAGCTGCACGCCGAGGTGTTGTATCCTGCGCTGATATAGTTGCTTTTGCAGCAAGGGACAGCATAGTTATTGTAAGATCTGTTTTTTTATTTTTTTCCTTTCAAATTTTACTATTATTAAGGGAAATGAGAGAGTTCAAAACTATTGCAATGTTTAATGGGGGGAGAAGTTTCAAACTCAGAAGTGACCCATTAGTAGAATCCCAACATCCTATCCACTAGTAATTAAGCGATGTACGAAGGAAATTCACGTGATTTTCCTTATCTATGCGACTCCTTCTTATCAATATATCCATGATTTTCCATGCAGACTAGAGGGCTTGGCTATGACGTTCCTGCAGGAAGAAGAGACGGCAAAATTTCCAAAGCTTCGGACATACCCGGAAACCTCCCTCTCCCGACATTCAATGTCGACAACCTCACTCAACTTTTCGCAAACAAGGGTTTCACACAACAAGAAATGGTTACTCTCTCTGGTACGTTCAATATTTTTTCTTGTGAAAATTATACCATTAAGCAACAAATAAAGCTGCTTATATATCAGACAATTTGTTTCTGCAGGAGCGCACACCATTGGCCGCTCTCATTGCACTTCTTTCAGCAACAGATTGTACAATTTTAACGCAACAACAAATCAGGACCCCAGTTTAGATCCGGCATACGCTGCTCAGTTGAAGCAGCAGTGCCCGCAAGGCAACACAAATGCAAACTTGGTGGTTCCGATGGACCCAGCCAGCCCTACCGTCACGGATGCAAGTTACTACGCTGGCATCCTTAAAAACAGAGGCTTGTTTACATCAGACCAAACTCTCCTCACAAACTCAGCAACCGCAAACCAAGTGAAACAGAACGCAAGGATTCCTTTCCTTTGGAAGAATAAATTTTCTGCTGCAATGGTGAAGATGGGACAGCTCGAAGTCTTAACGGGCAATGCCGGTGAGATTCGAGCAAATTGCAGGGTAATTAACAGCTAGAGCCTGGAGAGGATGCCTCAGCCTGCTTCAGTAATCTAGTTCTTCAATTGCATCAATTATCTTGTTCATTAATTGTGCAGCTTATAGTTTAATAAAATAACAAACACCATGTTGTTATGTCAGCCTACAAAGGGCTTTTTAGCCAAAATAAGGGTGTTTGACATCGGTATAACTCTTCATTTTGGTTTCTGATAAAGAAAATTCATTTGTCCACTATAAATCATTTTGATATTTATGTGAAAAATCTGTTAATATCCTCGTTAAATTGTAACGTGAACGACCATGTGACCACCATTTTAAGGTATTTTTGTCAAACCAACCCTCCATTTAAAGAGGACATTGACAGAATTTTCATTGAATGACAAAAATGATTTACGGACAAACTCAATGACCACTACTATCGATTATTATTGTTAGGGACCAAAGGAGAGAGTTATGTCAATTTTGGTGCAAAAGCCCCTACAAATTAAAGCAAAGTATACATTGCATTTTAAGTTGCTCATATTCATCAGTTAATTACCTTGAATTTTCCAGCACACATTGCGCGGTTAAGAATCATTGATGTGCTCCAGAAATTTTGTAAAATTAGTGCATCCGAATTAATGGAGCAGACAACTCTAATGTGGCAGAATTAAAAGATGAAATAGAAACCTCAATGACTCATGACACAGGAGTGAAGTACATAAGCAAACCAGAAGACCTCACTACCAATGTTTTGAGTGCAGAAAAAGAAAAGAAATGCACAATACATCCACACATAGACCCGCGTCCGATTGGATGACAATTGCGAACGAACGACATTGATTCAAAAAAACTCATCATCAACTGACAATGAGCGATAGGAAAACAATTAAGTGGTGAGTTCCATGATAGCGCTGACAATGTCCCCGCTGTGTGTCTTGAGAGCCTTGACGGCCTTGCTCCTTGACACCCCAGCTTGTGTCATGACCAAATCAATGTCCTTAGGTTCCACCCCGGTTTCATCAACCTCTTCCTCTTCTTCATCTGCCTGAGGTCCAGCAGCTGCTCCGGAAACCGCTGGTTTCCCCATCACAGAACTCATGTCCGGCATCCTGAACTGCTGGGCAGCCTGTGTCTGCAGCTGAGAGCTCAAATCCTCGATCTTGGCCTCGCCAAATATGACGTAGGTATCAGAGTTTGGGCTCTTGAAGGCATCGGGTTTCGATATGACAAATAGTATCTGAAATACATAAAAAAGAACAACCAATGAACATCGACCATCACATAACCATATCTCTGTTTTACGAACTGGAAACCAAACATCAACTTACGTTTTTGGTCTTCTTGATTGTCACCCTGCTAACACCAGTAACAGGCTTCATACCCAGCTTCAGCATTGCCTTCCGACTCTTCTTCTCGCTTCTACACTGTTTCGATGACTCATTTCCACCTGTTACATCGAATTAACATAACTCGAAGGACAACACAGGATATAATACATACTCATTGTGATTGAGCAGCAAAAG